TACATCAGCCAATAAAAAGAGAGGGCTGAACTAGTTAATCGCTGGGTAGGCACAGCCTTTTTTCTTCCCACTCCTGGTTTGCTTTGGGAACTGGCAAAGGAGACCTGGTGTCACAGTTAGTGAGTTACTTTTCTTGCCAATTTGCTGCTTTGGATTTAAAAATCCCTTTACTTACGTTGTTACCTTAGTTCTCTGACTTTCTTACGTTTCGACTTGTTTTTCTCTCTTGCTGTTTTCAAATTTATTTATCCTAAATTGACAGATAAAATTGTATTCATTGTTACAATGTGATGTTTTGATGTGCACCTACGTTGTGGAATGGTTAAGTCTTGCTAACTCGTCACTGCAGTCTTATCAGGGGTGCCATTCATCTATCTGGTGTGTGAAGTATTAGGGAGGGAAAGTATATCTTATTTATTTTTACAATTTTTTGAGACATAAAATTTCTATGTATTGGGTACATGTGATACTTTATTACATGCAAAGTACATTACAGTCAAGTCAGAGTATTTAGGATATCCATCTCCTTGAGTATCTTTTCTACATGTTGGGAACATTGTGAGTCCACTCCTAGCTATTTTGAAATATACAACACATTGTTGTTAACTATAGTCACCCTATTGTGCTATCAAACATTAGAACTTATTCCTTCTATCTAACCGTATGTTTGCACCTATTAATCAACCTTCCTCCATCCCCAACCCACACATATCCTTCCCAGCCTCTGGCATCTGTCATTCTCCTCTCTATTTCCACAAGATCTGCTTTTTTTGCTCCCGCACATGAGTGAGAACACAAGACATTTGTCTTTCTGTGCCCAGCTTTCATTTAGCACGATGACCTCCAGTTCCACCCATATTGCTGCAAATGACAGGAGAAAAGGGTGCTCTCAATGCTCATGTATAGCTTTCTTGCTTTTAGGAACACTCAACTGAGCTCTAAAGTATTAATTGGCTCTCAATTTTGTTTGCCTGTTGAAGTTCCCTGGGGAAATGTAACAATACACTGATTCCTGGGTCCAACCTCTGAAGTCTCTAATTTATAGTGTGGGTATCTCTGGACATTGGATTTCTGAGAACTCTCCAAGTGATTCCTCTGTGAGACAATGCTTGAAGGTCTTGCACTGTCCGACTACATAGTTGCCAGTTACTCAGACACCTTACTGATTAGTCAGGACACTCACACTTTAGCATCAGTTTTTCATGTGAAACGCTGTGTAGGTGCTGGGTCCCATGTACTCCCAGGTCTTAAAATAAGTCTGAGTCACAAGGACAAGGCTCAAAGAAAGATGATGGTGTGAAATGAAGTCCAAGGAGGGAAGAGTTTGAGAATTTGGGGAAGGGTTGCACTTTGTGAGGCTTAACTTTTACTAATGCATAATCAACTTGTGTTCATTGAAAAAACAGAGACCCAAGATTTAAAAGAAGAAAACACTTATGTAACAGAAATAGGTGTAGCCAGTGTTCAACAAATTTGCTGTGAACCCTTGAATGACATGAGTTTGAACTATGCAGGTCCACTTATATGTGAATTTTAAAAAATAACTATACTGGAAAATTGGGGGTAGATTTGTGACATTTTAAAAAACTTGCAAACAAACCACATAGTCTGGAAATATTGAAAAAATTAAGAAACTTAGGTATGTCTTGAATGTATAAAACATATGTAGATACTACTCTATGTGTTAATCAACTGTTATTGGTAAGGCTTCTGGTCAATGGTAGGCTATTAGTAGTTAAGTTTTTGGAGAGTCAAAAGTTATACTCAGATATTTCAACTGTGTGGGGGTCAGTGCCCCTAACCCCCACATTGTTCAAGGGTCAGCTGTATTTTCTTCTAGTGATATGTTTGTCTAAGAAACTGGAGTTACCTTAAGGACTGTTAAACAGTTTGTGTTTCCTTAAGCATTATAGTATGAGTTTTTTCCTCAAGTGTTCTTTGAAGGATAATTAAGTAGGTTTATAATACATGCTAGTGGTGCACCAGAAATCATGCCCTTGCCAATCTTCTCTTGTTTCTGATTTTATACTACTATATAGGACGATTTAAAGGATATTATATAAGCTTTATGCCTTGTGATTATGCTCTATGGATTCCTAAAGAATACAATGTTGAGTCACAGTGTTTAAATTCATTAAAAGCTTTTACTACTATTTTCCCAAAGGATGAAACACTGTCTTACACCACAGTTTCATACACTCATCTGACCACTTTGTGAAGATGCTTTTTTGATTGCTTGCATTTTCCTTTCAGGGACTATAACGTGCCTGTTTTGTATATGGATGTCTTCACCATTTGTAACTTATCTATTTTCAAGTTTTATATCAAATTGGTTATTTCCTCAGTTATTACAAATAGAGCTATCAAATCAAGGATAACTTTAAAATCTTGTTTCTTTTACTATCTTGTCTTTATCCATTGCTTTCATGTTTAAATGTTTTTCTTGCTTTGAAGGTCAGATACACACACCTCTCCCTGTGTTTTTATTAAGCTGCAATCATATTCACTTTAAAAAATACAATCGACTCTTTTATGTACCTGGACTTTGTGTGGAGTGTGATGTGAAGCTTGTGTTTTCCTTGTATCTAAGCAGTTAGCCATTTTTCTCAGTGCCATTCAACGTATATTCCACTTCAGTGTGGACTTGTAATGCCACTGTTATAACATGCTTAGTTGGGGTTGCACGTAGTTACATGGACACACCACACATATGTGTCTGTTATTTTGCTCTATAGAATATTAACTTTCTTGCAACAGGTGTCCTCCATGAGAGGTACGGAACTTCTTTTAAGTGATTACTAATTTTGCAGTCTGGTAAAATTCTAAACTTTAGTTCTAAAATTCTTCTTTGGTATCCTCCAACATATAATACTCCATGACCTGAAATACCACTTTGGGGTGGGAGGAGAGAAATCCCATTGAGATCACTAAGGCAATCTTATTAACCATATGAGCAGGAAAAGAATTCTTGTTGTGCTGCGAGTATGCTAAGGGTCAATTATGGGCCTAGAGGCTGAGACTATTGAGGAGAAGGAGAAACACATGGTCCTGCCCTGGTGGAGATTTCAATTTAAGGGAGTAATTAGACCCTAAAGCAAATCTTGCCTAACTAACGATAAAATATTAATGGCATTGCCTGCTGCAAGGTGAAAGACAGTAAATGCAAAAGTTTACGGGTACATAATCCAGGTCATGAGGCTATTTCATGTTCGTCTGTATTGTGGGGGCTCCCAAGACCACTCCCAAGTCTGGTGATTGGCTAGGAGCACTCACAGGACTCAGTACACAGTCATGCAGCTATGACTGTATTACAGTGAAATAATACAAAGCAAAATCAGCAAAGGGAAAAAGCACATGGGACAAAGTCCCGAGGACACCAGGCTTCACTCAGCATGGAACCAACCATGTAGGTGAGCTCTGCTAGCTCATGTGCCGCCTCCTGCCAGTCAGGCATCAGTGTCGAATGTTTCTGTGATACCGGTGATTCTCTGTACGGAATTTGGTACATCTTATCAGCTTCACCAGTGGTTTCTTTATGCCCAATAACCCAGTTGCAGTTGGATGTCTGGTTAGGTTTATTTCATAATTGAAGATTGAGCAGTTTAGCTTTGAGCAGATACCCACCATCCTTCAGCACTCATTTGCTCCTCAAAGAGAAGACTTATCCTTTGTTTTATGCATCAAAGCATTTTCCATAAAACCACAGAGAAGTTGGCCAATCCCCATCCACCCATGACTCATCAGATCTTCCCTCTCCATCCTTGTATTAATAAAATCTGAGTGCTTTGCCTATGTTGAGTCAAGGATCTGGAATGAATTCTCCTGCAGACAACTTCTGCAATGCCTATTCCACATGACCCTGTGTGACGATGTCAGGATCAGATGTTGAAACTTGGGTATAGGAAGTTCCAGGGGCTTATGGATGATTAAGGAGAGAAGATAACCAAGAGGTGGCACATGTGCACATATGCTTTATTGGGTGGCATTTGGACAGGTTTGCATGTAGGAGATGCCCCTCACAGCAGGGGTCTGTCTAGGTGCTACAGCAAGTGGGTGCCTACTCAGAAGGGGAGGAAGACGGGCCTCCTGGGGGAGGGGGTATTGGAGAGGTGGCTTACGTGCGTAGGTAATATCCCACAGAAGCACAGTGGGGAAGATCTCTGGTCCGGGGGCTCCAAAAGGCAGTAGCAGGTTGTGGTCTTCCTGACCTGGGACTTGTTGCTGGCAGATGTTGGCAGCAGTTTTTGTAGAATATGCAAAGCAGACAGGCTCTATATGGATAAAATTCTGTTTATTTGGGCTGTGTTTAAAATAACTGATGTACAGAAACTTAAGTATGGGGCCAGTAGGCTTTATGAGCTAATGAGTTTCAGCCTATGGTGAAAAAATAACCTAGGGACTGTCTTCAGCTCACTTATATAGCAACGGACATGATAGAACATATCCTAACACTTAGATTTTTTCAGAAGCATACAAGACCACAAATTACGTTATGATGATAACAGTTGTCTCTTCAATGGGAGTCCTGTACAGATTATTCAAGCAAAGGGAGTCTCAAATACAACAGCATATCCTGTAAGAGACCATGAGCATAGATTTTTGATCTGCACAAGAGTTACACAGTTACAAAAAAATCGCTTCCCCCAAACTTTTTATATTATACTCAATTATCAAAACCTAAATACTATTCACCAATCAGGGACAATTTTTACAATAAGGACATTGCCTTTTAACACAACTGATGCTCTACATTTACCTTAACTTAGAAGTTCACTTAGATCAATTGACAAAGTCATCGTTCCAGAAAGAGTTCAGACCTGTCATTAATGGATTATCCAAAAAAGCTCTTGCAGACCACGGGAATTTTCTACAATGTCAACTTTGAAAGAATCGTACTATTGTGTAGTTTGATTCTGATTCCATATTTGTTTTGTAGATCTCACATTCCTTGTTCCTCAAAGTCCTTGCTCTCTGAAGCTTGACCTCACTGGAGAAGAGGGATGGCAGAGTGGGATCCTACCGACTTTGACCTGGTGTGGTATTTAGAGAATCTTAGTGATGAGGAATTTCAGAGTTTTAAGAATCATCTACAGCAAGAGATGCAGCGATTAGGACTGCTACAGATTCCATCAATTAACCTAGCGAGGACCAAAAAAGAGCTGGCTAAAGTACTGATGACCTCCTATGAGGCACAATACACCTGGAATATGGCATTCAGTATATTCCGAAAGCTTCGTCGTGAAGATCTCTGCAGGAAAATCAACACTAGACGAAACCGTGAGTGGGGCCATTCTCAGAAGGGTGGGTAAGGGTCGGGGGCAGTTTGCAGGAAGCTTGGTTATTTTGATAAGTGAATTCTCCATCCCTGAAGAGCCAGTCTGCAGACCTGGAAGTCATAAAAGGGACCAGTGATGGGCTGGATGTGGGTTGTGTCCTGTCTTAGGACTTTCTGACTCTACCCCTCTTTTCTGCCTTCATGCTAACTGGCTTTTATGAAAGTGGCCAGGGGCAAGTGCTTATGCTAGAGTGGATCCCTGGAATGGAGCTTTGTCCTAAAACTGTAAGATCTGGCCAAAGAAATGTATGGTTCTATGTATAAAGGTTATGGAGAGTTAACAGAGTGGAGACTCTCCTAAGAAGATCATGTTCATTGGCTTACTCAGTATTACCAAACACCTTTGAAAGAGATATAATTCTATATCTCAACTGAATATCTGAATGGCTAAGAGAACTTACCAAGATCATGTATCTAGTCCCAGGTAGGTAGCAGAGCTAGGACTTTAAGCAAAATGTAACTGACTCTAAATGCCAGGCTTTTTCCCTCATCTTTCTCATCCCTTCAATATTCTCCATCCATCTGGAAAGACTTACAGGGACCAGCCAGGCAGGTGATGAAAATACACAAAGTAGCTGCCAGTTCTAGAAAAAAACGTGTGTTTGGGTTTACTGCTACCCCTCAGCTCTTGCCTTCCAGACAGTTACAAATGGTTTCACAGAAAAGAAAATTTCAGGTTGTCTCCTGTCATAGCCCCAAATAAATTACTGGACATTAACTAGTAAACTGTTGGAGATATTGATAATTGTAATGTGACTCCAGGGCCACCAGATCTTCTGATGTGACAAGAGAAACCAGAGATCTAGAGTGTTTGGTGCAACTCTTGACATTTTATTGCTGACAACTAAGTCAAACAAATAAAATGGCTTGTAATTCAAGCCAAACCATCTCGTGGACCAGGCCCAGGTTCGGTGCCAATTTTAAACCTCCGGCACAGAATGAGAGGGTACCACCAAGTCTGCTAAGCAGCATCTAGTGAGCAATAGAGAGCCTTGGTTAGCACGTCTCATTCACCCACCATATTTAAATGCCGAAAGTTGCTTTGACTTTCATATCTTCACATCGTCTCCCATATAAATAAGATATATTTGTAAAGATTCATTTATTTTTATTTTAGAAAAAATATATAGCATAGAAAAGTCAAAGAATACAAAAAGTAAAAACAGAAAAAGTCATCCCAAATCCTGTAACCTTGAGCTATATCCTTCAGGACCTTTCCATGCAGATACAAATATATGAAAATTAAGTCATACAATACATTTCCTTTTTTAGACCCATTTTTATCTGCCAAACTTCACATAAACATTTTCAAGCAAGTTAATCTTAAACCATCCCCCATTCTGGGACTGCCTCCCAAGGGGTGACAGTTTATCAGTTTTCATAGATATCTTTCCAGAGTTTTTACAGTGAATTTATGTCAATATGTCTGGATAGGAGAGAGTAACTTTAATGGAAGAAGTGGGGTTGTAATATATTAAGAGCTTCAAATAGTAACTCCTATTAGAGAACCTACCCTTTTCCCTCAGTGGGTTAGGGGAAACCATGTCTACCTCACTTTCTAACAGCCAGAAGATGCTGTTCTCATATGAAGAGTCCACTGTGTATCTGTGTATCTGCAATTTGTTCAGGTTGATACATCCTATTTCTCTGAGGGTGAAGTCATGAGCCCAATGTAGTGTGGACCGTTGACAACCCAGTGCCTCAAAAATGACATTGTATACTAGCTGCTGCCTGGATGGGGATCCATAGTGGGGAAAGAGGAACAAAACCCGAGAATCTCCCTGTGTGCCTCTTCTTAGATACTCCCTTGGTTAAGAGCACACACATTTCAGTCACTTGAACTGGCATTCAAACCCCATTTATGTTTAGTAAACATGTAACTTTGGAAAGCTTTTTAAATAATGGGGCAATGTGAAATGATACAGGCTCCCTATCTAAAATGTTGAGAAGCAAGGCTACTTAATATTGATCATTCCAGCAAAGTAGCAGATATGAAGGATGAACAAGTCTAGAGAGCTAATGTATGACATAGGGACTATAGTTAATAAAATAGTGTTATATTAGGGATTTTTATCAAACAGTAGATTTTAACTGTTCTTGTCACACAAAGTAACTATGTGAGATGGTAGATATGCTAATTTTCTTCAACAGAGTAACCATTTTATCACCTATATGTATCCCATAACATCATATTGTAAACCTCAAATACATACAATAAAATTTCTTTAAAAATTAATCATTCCAAGCCATACTATCAAAATGTAACTAGGATTAATATTCAATTCTATTCCTAAACATCAATTAGGTTATTAATAGTAGGAACATGTTGTCAATGTGACTTCTGAATAAGATACTTTTACTTGAATGTTCAAATTTAGAAGTAAACTAAAACTAAAGAAATTATACTACAGATATTTTTTATAATGAAGAAATAGTTTGGTTTTTAAAAAATTCCTTTGATTATTGAAAAAAGTTATAAAATATTAAGTCAGTAAAACTTTATCTTGTTGATTAAATATTATAGTATGGCTTCATTCCCTGCTATGACAGGTAGGTTTCTGTTCTTCCTGTGTCATCTTCCTCTTCCTCCCCTTCCACTGCTTATGTATGTTTATGGTGCCAAGGTTCGTAGTATTGGGTCTCGATGGTGATCACAAGTACCTTCTTGTTTGGGCTCCTTTCTATATTTGAGCCTATGTATAGCTTATTGCACACCACTATCCCTGACCAACCAGAAGTTCATTCCACGGTCTTAGTTAACTGGGCTTCATTGTTGCTTACCCCGTTTCTGCCCCAAGAAAAAACTCTTGGGTGCTGGATTACTTGATTTAATTTTATGTCTAAATCTAATTGAATGTCTTTATACACAAATGACGACTGGACATAGTACTCCTCAGTTACTCCTTATTATATTGTGTAAGTTGCTTCTATGTCTTCTGGCATTGAATATTTTTGGTGAAATCTTAAAAACAAAAAAAAAAAGTTTTACTTTTTCATGTTTTCTTCTTGCTGAATCCTTAAAGGATTTCTTCTTTATCCTTGGAGTTCGAGAGCTTAATAGGGGTGCACCTCAATATTGATCATTTTCTAATTGAATGTCTTTATACACAAATGACGACT